TTTCTTTCTTTCTTTCTTCTTTCTTTCTTTCTTTTTCTTTCTTTCCCTTTTCCTTCCTTCCTTCCTTTTTTTAAAGATTTTATTTATTTACTTGAGAGAGAGAGAGAGTATGAACACAGAGGGAGAAGGAGAGGCAGACCCCCGCTGAGCAGGGAGCCCGATGCAAGACTCCACCCCAGGACCCTGGGATCATGACCTGAGCAACGGTGGACACTTAACTGAACAAGTCACCCTGGCGCCCCACAGGGCTTTCTAAATTCCGCTGTGTACGGTTGCTTTTGAAGGTCTGAATCATAAATGTCTGGCTTCCAAAAGGGAAGAAAGAGGGAAAAAAAACCCAATCAAACAAAAAACCAGGTGCAACTCGTGTAAGTCTCCAGGAAACCACCCTAGCCACTGGGAGTGCACCAATGGCAGCCTGCTTCTGTGCCTACACCTCAGCAATGAAGAGCTCTCATCAGCAATCAGGACACAGAACCCTAATATTTGGAGGACCAATTCCTTATTGGCCACCGTGGCTGCAACAAACCACTCTAGAAATGTGGGCACAGCTGGCCTGCTACTGGGCTTAGGGCTGGGGGATGGATAGCTACTGTCGTGCTAACGGCAGAAATTGACCAAATTTAGCCAGACTTCCCTGGTCAGGCTTTCTCCTGGAAGCTGCAAGCATTCAAATACACTCTCTAGTGCCGACGTGGTGACTTCAGACGGTTTCTGCTAGTACGGTCGCTGTCTGAGTGGAGAGACAGGTTTCTGGCATTTCCTATTTTGCTATCTTTCCTGACATCCCCTCCCATTATTAAGTCCCATAGTAAAATGAAAGAACCACAGTGAAATCTCCCCTGGTTTTTAGGCTAGTCTCCTGCAGAAATTAGAGCCCCAAAGTTCCCTCTGGCTGATGCCCTTGTTGTGCTCAGACTTAGCTGCAGAGGACTGGGTGCAGTCCAGACTCTCACTGCTCTGGCCGTAAGAGCCCGCACTCCCCTTGGCACTGCCGACCTAGGTGCGTCCAACCCTCTGGCCTCTTATGTGTCCTGCATCTCTTAACTCCAAGAGACAAGAGGGTAACCAGAATAATAAGAATTAAGAATAAGAATACGAATATAAATTATATAAATGTAAGAATATAATTAATAATAATAATAATAATAATGATATCACAAGTCTGGTTCCAACCCACAAAAGAAAAAAAAAGAAAAACCAACCCAGCGCAAGCTGATTTGTAGCCGAGCTAGTAATGTATAATCTGTGACAATTCCCTGATCCCAGGACTCTATGGCCACAGACTCTAGCAAAGACTTCTAATCTGGGTTGTGGGGAAGAGACAGGTCAAACTATAGAGGGAAGAAAAGCCACCAGCCCGGGTTGAGAGCCCATTGCAGAACTTAATTTTAACTGGGGATAGTTCCCACTTGAAGGTCGATTGTGGCGCTAGGTTGCCCATATCTTGGGGGAAATCTGAATGTGTGAATGGGTTCTTTTTTTTCAGAAAGTGGCATTTGTTTTCTTGCCAGTGACAGTATCCCCTGTTCCCAAGGTTTCTTGGGACTCCCTTTTTCCATGCAGAATCCATGCTGGATATTTAAAACCTCTGGATTTCCACTTGCCCTTTGAACCTTGTGTTCTTGCACACAATGGTGAGTCAGTGTTGGACCTGTCCAGGGAGGCAGTTTCATTTATAACAGGCACATCTCCAAGCAAAGGCTAATGCTATGTATTTCCCTTGGTTTCTGTGGGGGATTTAAGGGGATCCGATAATAACACCTTTTACATGCTACATTTCAGAAGCCACTTAAGAGAGAGAGAAGTCAGGTAGTTGGAGATCATAACATCAGCTTTGTTATGAATCAAACATAGATTGGGAGATGTGTCACAGCAATGAGTTTCCTCAAACTGGGCACCATGATTAGGGACCTCACCGCTGTCAGGCAGGGCCTGCTCTCACAACGCCTATACCTGGAGCACCAGCTTAGAGGCCTCTTTTCTGCCCCTGGGCTGGCTCCAGAGAGACAGGCAGGAAGAGACCATACCTTATAGGCTGTGCTTCTTCTCCAGAAACATCTAAGAGCTTACCTCTCATGGGAGGGAGGAGGGTGCAACAAGAAACCAGGAGCGTCAGGCTGACTGATGTCCCTCTCCTGGAAGGAGACACTGGGAACTAGGAATGAATGTCCCCACCCAAATTTCCCTTCCTGCCCTTTGCTTCCAATTCTCATCCCCCAGAGGAAGCCCAGACTCTGTTCCACAGCTAAGTGGCCGCTGCTCTTGCTGCTGCCCCCTACCTTGAATTCTGCCTCCTGCTCTGGGTAATAAAACCTTTGTCTCAGCTCAGACTCATCCCTCAATAGGGAACCCTGCACTAATGCTGCTCTTGGTGAAGCTGACAAAGATGGTTACCTCAGTGGTCCAGTAAGGACCAACATCTCTGCTGGCCCAAATCTTCCTCTGCTGCTGACTGGTCCAAGCTTGGGATAATCTGAGCTGTCCCTGGGGGAGTGGAAATGTCCCACGTCATGAAAAGGCCTCCAGTATTACACACTTCCTTCAAGTTCCAGCTGGATCTTTCGAAGCTCAACCTGCTTCTTAGGTTCTTCCTGGTCTTCTACATGTGGTCTATGCTGTTCCTGAGAGCAGAGCATCTTTTATCTTTTCTACCCTTCACATCTTGACTACTAGGCCAAAACCTTGTTCTTAAACAGATTTCTTTTGATTTCATAAGCCTTTTTTCTTCACATACTAGATTTCCAGGATTTTAAAAGTGAAGATACTTTCCGTTACAAGTTAACAAATACCTTGACTCAAATTGGCTTAGAAATGAGAAGACATTTGTAATGGGAAACCTAGCAATAGGACACAGGTTTCAGGGTTGGTTGATTCAGTGGCCCAACGATGCCATCAGTCATCTGGGTACTTTTCATCTTGCTGCTCTGATGCCTCAGCACCAGCTCCAACCCACAGTTGTTGGTTCCTCTCGTGGTCATAAGATGGTTGCCAGTGGCAGCTGGGTGACATCCTGCCTTGTTTAGAGCCAAGTGGAGCAAAAGACTGGCTGATTTTACACAGAAGCTGTAGGCAAACTTCTAGCAACTCATCGGTCCACACTGGCTTAGTACTGACCATCCATGAACCAGTGACTGGAAAGGTAGAGGAATGGATTACCACCACTGGTGTGGACGGGTGGTCTGGAACAGAGGAGTTTTGGGGAGCCAATCTGAATGTCCTCTTTCTTTGAGCTGAGTACTCCCAACATAGATCTGTCGATCTCCTTAACATGTAGGCTTATATGAATTCTACTGAGATTTCCTTTACCTCAACTGAGAATTGATATCTCTCCTATAGCTTATGAACCCGCATTCCTTTTTATCTGTCTGCTAATAAATCCACCACATTGTTATGACTAAAGCAACAATCAGTGCTCGGCAGTTCACCACCATAGTCAGCCCTCTTCATGGCACATGGCACATGGCACATGGCACATGGCACATGGCACATGGTTCCATTAGTGGAGGAGGGAAGATGGGGCTTGAGATAAGCTTCACCTTCGCTCTTTGAATCTGGCTGGAGTTCCAACGAAGATAAAGGCAAATACAAGTGGAGACAGTTAATACTGACTGTCCACCCATTCCCAGCTTGAATAGCCTGAAGACCAAAGAGATGTGTGTTTCTCAACGTGGGGTCTACCGACCACAGCTTCAGAGCCATGGTCCCACCAAATCTCTCAGATCCTAGTTTTATGTCCTGTCCCCCGTCTCTTTTTATTTTCATTCCAATTTACATTTAACTTCTACTTATGCATTTTAAGTATTTTAAAGACACTTTAGGGTACCTGGGTGGCTTAGTCAGTTAAGCATCAGCCTTCGGCTCAGGTTATGATCCCGGGGTCCTGGGTTTGAGCCCTGAATCGGGCTCCCTGCTCAGCGGGGAGTTTGCTTCTCCCTCTGCCCCTCACCCCACTCGAGCTCGCTCTCCCTCTCAAATAAATAAATAAATAAATAAATAAAATCTTAAAAAAAAGATTGTTTACAAAAATAAAGACATTTTAAATACTTTGTCGAGGGGCGCCTGGGTGGCTCAGTTGGTTAAGCAACTGCCTTTGGCTCAGGTCATGATCCTGGAGTCCTGGGATCGAGCCCCGCATCGGGCTCCCTGTTCAGCAGGGAGTCTGCTTCTCCCTCTGACCCTCCCCCTTCTTGTGCTCTCTCTCTTTCATTCTCTCTCTCAAATAAATAAATAAATAAAAATTAAAAAAAAAAGCATGAGATGTTTAAAATAAATAAGTAAATAAATACTTTGTTGAATGATGGCAGAGTGTAAATGGACAAAATCTTTGTGCCCATATTGCATTGTCTTCATTACTGTAACTTTAGAGCAAGTTAAACATTGTTATTCTTTTTCAAGATTATCTTGGCTAAGCTTGGCCTTTGGCATTTCCATTTATGTTTTAAAATCACTTTGTCAATTTCCACAACAAGCTTACTTGAAACCAACATTTTATTGAGCTCTCTCTACTCCTCAGAAATCTATTCCAGCAGATTTTCTCTTTGACGCGAACATCACAGACAGGGAGGTTATGACCAGCATTCCTCTTGATTCCCTCCCTATAAGTGGTGGATGAAAGGAAGGCTCCTTCTCTGGAACAGGCCACCACAGAGTGAGCTGGGGTCAGGAGCAGAGCGGGCCCAGGCAGGTTTTGTTGGGGCATCTAACCAGTAACAGCCCCAGAGTTATAATGAATTCATTCTCTTACCAAAAACAAGAGAAAAGTAGTATGACTCCTCAGTAGTGTCCCTCAGTAGTGACACTCAGAGTTCAAATATGAGAAGGGGATCAGAAAACAGTTAAAAAGGCCACCTCCAGGGTGGTAGTTGGGGGAGGAGCAAGCCCTGTCCCCCCACCACCCCGAGCGTGCGCCGACCTGCTGCACAGTTACTACAGGAGGTGGAGTCCTCAGCCAAGCAGCAGCACCCGCCCAAGCTCTATGGGTAGCACCAACTCTCGCCATGGCTGGGGACATCCTGTCCCTGAGGATCAGGAAGCTCCAGAACCTTATGTTCTCCCTGGGGTTGGAGACCATCCATAAAACTTCTAAAGATACCCCTCAAGCCTGTCTGGTTGTAGGTGAAGGCCAAGCTATGCATGGCCATGATGGGGAGCTCAGCAATGGGGGACAACATCAATCTCAATTCCATCTCATCCCTTTGAAGACCAGCCACGGAGCCATGTTGCCGGGCTGTCACCATGAGAGGACTTTCAATGGATGTAAACCTTGAGATCGATCATTCTGAGACCTCCCCTGGTTCTAGGACATGCTCATACAGAGAAGCATCCAAAGACATTTCTTCTCTTGCATTGGTGGTGCCGGTGTTGATGGTGGCAGTGTCCAGAGCATTGGAGCGAGGAAGCCTATTGTCTGCCTCTACTTGCATTTTATTGAAATTATATTGGATCTGTAGGTTAACTGGGGAGAAATTACATTTTAACACTATTTAGTCTTCAAATCCATAAACATGGTATACTTTTGCATTTATTTTGGCTTTCTTTCTTTTTTTTTTTAAGATTTTATTTATTTATTTGACAGAGAGAGACACAGCAAGAGAGGGAACACAAGCACGGGGAGTGGGAGAGGGAGAAGCAAGCCTCCTGCTGAGCAGGGAGCCCGATGCGGGGCTGGATCCCAGGACCCTGGGATCATGACCTGAGCCGAAGGCAGCCGCTTAACTGACTGAGCCACCCAGGTGCCCCTATTTTGGCTTTCTTTAAATCCTCTCAGCGAATGTTTTATGATTTTCAGTGTAGTGTTCTTACACATCTTTTGTTGGTTTTGTCTTTATTATTGATGGTTTTCAATGCTTTTAGAAATGATACTGTTTTCTACTTGTGTTTCAACTTGTTTGCTGCAAGTATATAGAAATACAATTTATTTTTGCATATTGATCTTGAGTCTAGTTACCTTGTTCAATTACTAATTCATTCCACAATTTGTCTATAAATTCTTTTAGATTTTCTGAGTGCACAATCAGCTGCAAATAATAGTGGTTCTATTTCTTCCCTATTAGGTTTAAAAATTGATTTTCTCACCTTATTGCATTGGCTAAAATTTCCAGTAAATGTTAAATAGAAATGGTGACAGTGCACATTTTATCTTATTCTCAGATTAAGTGAGAAAGTACTTAATATTTCACCTTTCAGTATGATGTTAGACATAGTTGTTGGTTTTTAGCTTTTTGGATTTTTTATGGTGTATACCCTTTATTAGATTAAGAACGTTACTTTCTTCTTTTAGCTTTCTGAGAGTTAAAAAAATGAAAAGACGTTGAATTTTATCAAGTGCTTTTTCTGGGTCTATTAAAAGTATTATATGGTTTTCTTCTTTAATTTGTCAATGTGGTGATACACACTCCTTGAGTTTTAAACGTTAAAGAATTGTTCCATTCCCACATTAAGTCTTGCTTAGTCATGATGTATTATCTTTTTTATCTTTTGCTGGATTTGATTTGCTAATGTTCTGCAGGAATATATTTTTCCATCTGTGTCCATGAGAGATAGTGACCTGTGCTTTCATTTTTGTAGTGTCTTTCTCAGGTTTTTTTGTATCAAGATTATGAGTCCTACTCTAGCAAGTTGGACTGTGTTCCTGTTTTCTCTTTCCCTGACAGAATCTATGTAAGATTGGTAATAGCTTTCCTTAAATGTATGTTTTAAAGAACTCACAAAGGAAGCATCTGGGCCTAGACTTTTCTGTTTGCTTGGTTTTTGTTTTTGTTTTTGTTTGTTTGGTTTTGTTGGGTGGGAAGGGCATCTTTCAATCTTGATGTTCATTCTCTCGTCGTATTTTTTTCCTTAGGATGTTTTCAATAGTCCAGAACCAGAAGATTTCGCATGAGGCTCTTTTGAATCACTTCAAGCAAAATAAGGTGGAGATAGCAAATGCAATAACAAAGCCATTTCCTTTCCTTGAAAGCCTCAGAGACCGCTCCTTTATCACGGAAAAAATCTATAAAGTACGTGAAGTTTATCATATCATCCCATGATAACCCAGGCCCACACTAATTATGTGTGGCAACCTGGATTCAAAATTTAGTGTATCACTAACTGGCTGGTGGCCTTTCTATACTTTTCATGGAAAGACCTTTTTAAGTGAGTTAATCCTCCTATAAGTTTGAGGGTGACAGGACAGGCAGTCATTGCTAATGATGCTTCTGTCCTAATTGAAGCCCCTGTCTTCTGTGGGACATGTTGCAGTGAGGTGGATGGGAACAGTGATATGGCTGAATTGAAACTGATAGCTTTTTATATAAAACCTGTAGCAATTTATACAATATAACAAAACTAAATAAAATTAAAATAATTAAGAGAATTGAGGCAGTATTCCACTATAAAATCCACTATGTCAAATGAAATCCCCAGGGATTTTGTGCTATTATAAATCAATTTGTTCTGTAAGTCTATCTACACTGGGAAAGTGGAATGAATGTTCTTTGTAGTCACTTCCTAGTGATTAACTTTGAAACTATTTTAACTTTGAAACTATTATTTTATATTCTTTTCCTACTGCACTTTTTTTTTTTTTTTAAAGGATTCTCAAGAAGCCCATAGAAACTTGGTTCCGGTAGAGAAAGTGGTATATAATATTCTCTGCTACCTTGAGAAGACTTTTGATAGGTCACTCCTACAAGTCCTGTTCAGCAGGGTTCATCTGAAGGAGTATCCCGATTTAATTCATGTTCATAGACTCTTCGAAAATGGTAATCAATACCCTCCCCTCCCTTTTCGGGTCCAGGTCTGCTTCTCATTTATCCATTCACTCATTTCGTGGTTTAACAACTATTCATGAAATGTTTACCCTGTCCCAGGACCTGTGCTTGTCAGTGTGAATAAGTCACTGTTAATAAAAACCAATATGGTCTCTGGTCTCATCATCAAAATCATCAGTCAGATGATTACTCTGCTAGGGCCTCATGTAGGCTTAATTACAGCCCTTTTTCTTCTTCTGGAAATGTGTGATTTATTCTGCGTCACAGGTGCCTGATAAAGAGGAAGTATTCCTGGACAGGTTGTGACATTTTTCTAAGATGACCAGATTGTCACTGATTCCCACAGAAAACCTTATCTGAGACAGTCTGACAAAAGTTAGCTCTCCAAACAAAAAATCGAGAAGTCACAAAAGCCCCCACTGCCACCACCCCCAGCCAGCCTAGAAGGAGGGCCAGCATGTGGAAAGGCATGAGAGTAAGGAAGGCTGATTCTGATGTGATGATCACAGACAAATTGTGCATTTCTGACACCCTAAACTGAGGAGCTGGAATTTTATTTTCATAAAAACAGGGAAGTCACACCAATTCTTAAGCAAGGGGAAAAGTCAAAAAAAGCGAAAATAAAGTAGGGAGTGTATTAATTTGTGAAAATAGTACATTGATTAAAATAAGAACAATATAATTTCTTTTCTTTTTTTTTTAAAGATTTTATTTATTTATTCGAGAGAGAGAGGGAATGAGAGATAGAAAGCACGAGAGGGAAGAGGGTCAGAGGGAGAAGCAGACTCCCCGCTGAGCAGGAAGCCCGATGCGGGACTCGATCCTGGGACTCCAGGATCATGACCTGAGCCGAAGGCAGTCGCTTAACCAACTGAGCGACCCAGGCGCCCTTCTTTTTTTTTTTTAAAGATTTATTTATTTTAGAGAGAGAAAGAGAGAGTGTGCAGGGGGGAGGAGTAGAGGGAGAGGGAGAGAGAAACTCAAGCAGACTCTGTGCTGAGTGAGGAGCCCGCTGCTGGGCTTGATCCCACCACGAGATCACGACCTGAGCAGAAACCCAGAGTGAGACACTCAACCCACTGAGCCACACAGGCGTCCCTGAGCAATATAATTTCCATACTAATACCTGAGTTAAAGAAAGGAATAGAGAGAATCAAATATCTGGGCACAAATTTCAAGTCAATGATTTTTAAAAGCTTCATTGAGATAAATTTACATACCTTAGGTCAATATATTTGTAACCAGGATGTCCCGGGCCATGGGAACAGAGGGAGTGGCGGTTACCTGTCCTGCCCACACCTCAGGGGCTCTGATTCTCTCCATGGACTGCAGTGACCCCCCCCTTCCAGGTTCAGTGTCCACATCACCTGTGTTAGGTTCCGGGGCTCCCGGAGCTGGGGTGACCTGCACCTACAGTCACTGCCGCCCACCTGCCCCTGGGGAGATGGCAGCTGTCGCCTCCCAGACACTGTTGTCCATGGGAGCTGTAGGTCAGTGACCCAAAGCCAAGAATCTGGGGGCTGTGGCCTGGGGTGCACACCCTCTCCTGCTGCTCAGTGCCTACCTTCATCCCATGCTCACAGCGCCCTGAGCCCCCATGGGACCACATACACACACAGGCCCCCTTCACTTTTCCCTTTGTTCCCCTTTTATCTTCCACCTGGTTTTGCCAGGGTCTGAGGCCAGGTCCCGTGCAACTCACCCCTGCGGGCCCAGCCCCAGGAGGAGCTCCCTCCATGGGCCCTGGAGCAGCAGGTTCCCTACCTCCGTGGTGTCCCCTCCTCCCTGGACTCCCCACAGACACCACCTCCCCACCCCTCCAGGCTTCATGGTTTATTTCCTTCCTCCCGTGTGTGCTGGGTCACTTACAGGCAGGGGCGCTGGGCTGGTATTCCTCCCTCCCCTGACTGGGGGCCTCCCCACCCCTGGGGCAGGCCTGTGGGGTGGTCCTCCAGCACAGCTATCTGTGCTCCCTGCTCAGAGCTGCAGAATGTCCTTCCTTTGTTCCTGGGATCTGGGCCCCTGGGAGGTCAGTCTTGTTCCTCCAGGTGTCCTCTGCTTTGTCTCTTTGGGAAGCGCTCACCCTCCCTGCCCCAACCCTCCTCTGGTCTAGCAGCATCTTTAGAGCAGGTGGGCCTTCTCTTTCATACCCATGGATCTCTCTGTGAGCCTAGCTCTTGTCCCGAAGAATTCCCTCTGTCCCTTTGTACGGTTCACAGAGACATTCCATTTAACAGAATTTATATTGAGATAAGCTTTCACTCCTCTATGGCCATCTTGTTGGGTGATTAATTACTGTTTATAACTTTCCCACTGCTCCATAATCCTTAAACCCGACATGCTCATTGCCTATAAGATTTGCGCGCGCGTGTTTTTCTCTTCGATGTCCTAGGGAAAGGAACAAATGACAGCAAGTTAGGAGCCACTGAGATGAACTGACCCAGGGTCCCAAAGTCCCCACTAAGTACCTGGATTCTTGGGCGGTCCAGATGTGTAACTATGAGGTGGTGTCCCTGATTGTTTGCTTGCAACCACTAATTAATATTTTTCTCTGTTCAGTAATTGAAGACAAGTATTTTCCCCAGAAAAGTGATAGCAAAGAGACACAAAAGACACCCAACACTGGGCCAAGCTGTGAACAAGGTAATTATGATAGAAAACAAACTTTGCTTCCTGGTTACAAAGAGGTCAGAACTCAGAAAGTTCAACTGTGATGCTGGAGAGGGAATCCAAGAGGACATGGGGCAGGTGGATGTGTGTGACTTTGTATTGATTCCAAAATGACATGACTCTGTTTGAATCCAAGACAAAAGGTGGCAAAGACAGACTTTCTGCCCAATAACCTGGAGCCTGGAATAAGAATCTAAATGTGAATTATGAGTTTCCAGAGGTGACCTTCAGTGTGAAGCAACTGAGGGCTAAGAACTCTGGGCCCATGGTCAATATCAAGAGGAGATCCTTGATGATGGCGGAAGGGACTGATTTCAAGGTGGGGGAGGTTGTTCAAGAGCCCAGACATTCAAGGAGAAAACCAGTCATACACAGAGAGAAAAGAGGAAGTGGTAGAAAGATGGAAGGGAGGATGTGGGTACTTAGAGAGAGAAGGAGGGCAATGAAAGACAGGGAAGAAAGGGTTGAAAGACACAATAGAAATAGCTGCATTATTAACATCTCACTGGTTGAACATTTGCAGGGGCAGTTGTAAGTTTAGTGCTCAGGCTGCCGTTGCTTTTATGCCAATTTTGCAGGTAAGGAAACTGAAATCTGGAGACAGTGTGTGTGTAGTTGGCCTGGGGTCAGATGAGCAAGGGTGAACCCAGGCATTCTGAACCCAGAGCCTGTTTGTGAGTGTCTTAATGGAGGTAAAATTCACATAACATAAAATTAACCACTATAAACAATTTACTGATATTTGGTGCATTCACAATGTTGTGCAACTACCACCTCTATCTACTTTCAAAACGTATCAATCACCTCAAAAGGCAACCCCATTTCACTCCCCACCCCCCACCTCCCACTGCCAGGAGCCACTGGTATAACTAAAAGGTGTATCTTTTCATTTCTGTGCGTTGAGTGGAGGAAATCAGAAAGTCGGAGAGAACAGGAATGGAGCCTGACGTGGAAGGTGGGAAGATGTAGAGGAAGAGAGCTGGGCAGGAAGGTGGAGGCAGCAGGGACTGAGCAGAGAGGGTGGCTGGAGGGAAGAGAGACGGAAACACAAGGACATGGAAGACAACGGAGTCCAGGATGCAGAAATATTTTCCTAGGATAGAAGCAGCAATGCCTGGAGGTTGGATCCTGGTGGAAAATGGCAGGGGAGAGAAAGGGAATTAGGTCTAAGGTGATGGAAAGAGGCAGAACAGGGCTTGGTTGCATTTTGGGTGGAGACTTGGAGCAGGAGGCGTATTTCTGCACAAGGAGCAGCTAACCTTCGTCTCCAACCTCAGAGCTCAGTGTCTACGAACTACTCTTTAGTAGTCACTGGCTCTGGTCTCTCCTTTCCTTTTCTCTCTCTTTAGTGCCCGATGAATCCGAAGTTTTAAGTATGAAGGAGAGGAAGTCAGAGAAGGTGTGTGGCCTGCTGGACAATGGACAAGGTAACTATGACTGAATCCCAGGTTTTAAATGACCAGTTCCCTGGATAGCTCATTATGTGGGGGGAGGAGAGGCCATACACTCGAGCCCAGCCTCTGGCTCCTTTCCAAGGTGTGAGGGAGGCCTGCATGTGGGGTGAGACCCGCAGGGCCTAGGGGATGAAATTTAAAGAGAACCCAAGAGTGGGCGCCTCCTTAAATTAGGCTCCTTAGGCCTCTTGCGTGCTTCACCCTAGCCCTGACCTGGAGGCAAGAGAGAAAGGGGAGCTGAAGTCTTTACTGGAGGACAAGTATAGACAGGTGGATGGATTGGGCCATCCAATGGGAGTTATAGGAGCAAGCACAGTTTTACCTAAATGGACATGAGATCCCAAATTCTCCCATTTGGTAGAGGTTTGGCAGGGAGATAGCTTTATTCTACTTGCCAGAAGTTGTCACAGGAACATGGACATAATGTGCGTGATGGTCAGATTTGCCAGTAAGTGGGATCACTGGAGAAGACACTAGAGGTAGAGGTGGGGAAGAGGCCTTGAGGATGGGTCAAAACCCAGTGAGAGACTTGGAGTGATGGAGGGGTGCAACCTTTGAGATGAGGACAACGTGCACGACAAGTACCGGGAGCCTAGAGGCGGGCAGAGGGTCCAGGCAAGCCCGAGAGAAACAGAGACAGAGGAGGACAATTTACACCAGGGTTAGTGACAAAGATCATATGGAGAGAGAAACAGGGGACAACGCAAATGCTGATAAAAGAGGAAGTAGGGGAAGGACAAAACAAAACCCTGAAGACAGAGGGTTCAGTGGGAGGGAATAGAATGTTGCTGGAGGAGGCCAGTGTGGGAGAGGGGAGACATGGTGGGGTGTTTAGCATCAAGGGGAGGTCACCGCACAGAAGCTTCTGCCGCAGGCAGTTATCCCTGCTAACGGTAAATTTTCAGAACTCTGAATGCTGTACCCATATGTTGGCAAACATTACATTACTGATATATTTGTATGGAAGATTCTATGAAAACAGTTCTAAGAAGTGTATTTATGTACACATGCGCTAAGCCACCTTTGAAAGGACACAAGAATAAACACAAAATTCAGCCAAGGTAATTTCCAGTGAGTGAATGAGAGTAGCAGATTAAGAGAAAAGAGGAAAAACAAAAAGGTAGATTTCAGGGTAAAGAGGAAAACCCTGGAGAGATGGAAAGAGGACATTGAGGTCCTGACACAGAGAGAGGCAGGAGGCGAGCAGGCAAGAGGCAACACGGGGCGGGAGGGGGAACCCTCTCAGGTGGAGTGGGGAGAGAGGAGATAGCTGAGGGTTCTTTCTGGATTGTCACATATTCCAGGGGCAGAGCTCTCCAGGTACGAACTTCTAGTACAATCTTGTGCCAGGCAGCTGGTGGATATACAGAAGACAATTGCATCTTGTCACCTCGAAATTAACCAAGAAGGCCAGCCAGCAGGGACAGCGTATGTCCAAGCACCTGAAATAATCAGTAAGCCTGGTGGAAGGAGTCTGATGTGGTGACACCGTGTGTGTCGCAGCAAAGGTGTCAGGAGGCAGCCCAGGGAGGATGGGATGGATGCAGGAGAGGGAGACCCTGGTGCTCAGTGAAGGAGCGCTTGCCTAGCCGAGAAGAGCTGGGGGTGAAGTGGGAAGGTACTGAAAGGGGGCACTGAAGAGATGCATAGAGCAAGATGGCAAGAGGAGATGAGGGGACAAAGATGCGTCAGGCTAGAAGAGGCAGAAACGGAGAGTGCTGAAGAGAATGTGCTGAGCTGAGAGCGGAAGGAGGAGGTATGAGCTGCAAGAAAGAGAAGCAGAGGCGGGGAAATGGGAAGAGGCATCTGCAAGGCGAAGAAGAGAGGGAGTGGTCAGAAAATGGAGAGCAAGATGATCAGAGCTGGCCACTGGGGTCACCTGTCCTTGCAAAGCATCCAGGGAGAGTGACGGGAGCACCATTAACCTGCAGGCCCCCGGATTCCATGAGAAGACCATCTGGAGCGGGGACATTCCTGCCTAGAGCTGGCCCAGCAGCCAGGGCTTTGCTGGTGTCTCCTTATGATGGGGTTTCCTGTTGGTTCCTTGGCCCCACATTGAGATCCCTAAGGGGTTTTGTTTCTCTGTGCAGTAATCAGCAGTGAATCCAGTGAGGAGGAAGAGCCCCCAGCAGCTCTGAGCTCAGCACAAGGACGAGGGCTGGAGGAGGAGGGTGAGGATGGCCAGCTTTGGGCCGCAGACCATCAGGTGTCTGAATTCAGAGCCCCTGCTTCCTGACGTGTTGTACTTTGAGTGCGCTCTACAGCAAATGGTCCTGTCAACACTGTGGATACATTCTCCATAGTTACCTCATGTGCCATTTTGGGAAATGTGGGACACAAGGTCCTAGTCACTAAATATGTGTGTTGATATATAAAGGTTAGAGTAGAAACAAATTACCATATTTCTGTTTGTTTGTTTTTTCCTTTCACATGATCATGCCTATTGTGGTATAATAATAAAAAAAAATAGGTATTTGTCTTTGTCCCTAGTTCCTGGCACAGAGCTCCTCAAACCCTTGGAATTTTCCCAGTGGTAAGAGTGTTCCTATGACAATTAGAGGGTTAGAACTCGACCTCTGTGGAGAAAAAAACAGGTGGGAGATTAAGTTCAATCACCAATGGCCCATGATTTAACCAATTATGCTTACACAATGAAACCTTGGTAAAAACCTCTGAACAACAGGGTTGGCAGCCCCTGACTTGGTAAATACATTGATGTGCTGGGAGGGTTGCATGCTGGAGAAGGTGTGGAAACCCTGGCACACCCCACCCCCATACCTCGCCTTATCCATCTCTTCCATTTGGCTGCTCTTGAGTTGTATTCTTTATAATAAAACTGTAATCATAAGTAGAGCACTTTCCTGAGTTCTGTGAGTCATTCAAGCAAATTATTGGACCTAAGGGGGCATCATGGGCACCCCCAAGTTTATAATTGGCTGGGCAGAAACATGGGTAGCTTGGAGACCCCATTTGTAGCTGGTGTCTGAAGTGGGGTCAGTCATGTGGGACTGAGCCTTTGCCCTGTGTGGTCTGGGCTAACTCAGGGCAGTTAGTGTCAGAACTGAATTGAATTGTTCCACACCCAGTTGATGTTGAAGAGCTGGAGAATTGATTGGTGTTGGAATGACCTATTTATCATTGGAAAAGACACCACACAGTTGGTGTCAGAAAAAAGCCCACACATCTATTCATACTGATGTCTTCAATGTAGGTATTGATTTCTGCCTTAACTAACCTCTATCATCTGTAGATCACCAAAAAAGGTAAGTAATTTTTGATTGCTTTGATACATATATTGTTATTGGAAACTTGGAAAGACCCAAAAAGCTCAAATAAGTCTTTTTGACAGGTGTTCTCCATCATGCCATTAGCTTATATACAAACTTTTCCAAAAATAATTTGGGAAATATTATCTCATAATTTGAAAACATCAGTAAGGAGTAGGCAGAATAAGTATTACTTTTATCCTTGTTTTATAGATGAGAAAACTCTACCCATAACTGGTGTTAAGAGTCTTTTCCCAAATCATATGGAGGATTAAAGGCAGAGCCACGACCATTGTCTTGGATGCTCAGATCTCAATTCAGCAGATGTGTTTCCTTCAGAAGGAAGAAAGGGAAGAAGAAAACCAATCAGACACATCTGCCAGTGTTAGTTGTTACAGGATTTATAACTTTTATCAAGCAGTTACTGTTTCTCTTTCCTGAATTTTATGAACAAAACTAATTTGAAAATATGCACTAGGTGTAATAACAAATAACTTTGTTATTTGTTAAAATGCACATTTTCTCCCAACAAAAGGTTCATTTTAATTGTTTGCTATATTTTTCATAAGTAATAAAACTGAATTTATTTTTTTAGGGAGTTCCCACCATTTAACCAACGTGTAATGTCTTGAGCACTAAAAGTCTATTTATTATTCATGGAAAAAAGGCCAACAGGTTCTGGGCTGACAAGGAAGTCGAGTGAGACCGGGGCAAGCAGGGAGGAGGGGAGAGGGCTCTGACCCACATACTCTCTGGGATCCATCTTCCAGTGTTGCCCTGGGCAAGCAACAGAGGCCGAGGAAGTGTGTAGGGATTAGTTGGAAGGATAGGAAGTAGAAAAGAGAGGTGTTAGGAAAGCTAAAGCAAGATACAGAAAAACTGCCCAACTGCCCAATTTTCTCAGCTCCTGGTGATGGCAGCTAAAAACAGTGTTAGCCAAGGGGCTGTGTTGAATTCAAAGAACAGACTGGAGTGCCGGGAGTTTCATGACCTTCCCTGGTCTTTCGTAGTTTTCCTAAGGACTTTCCTTCTCTGTTGGCTTCTTGGCCGCACACTAGCAGTCTGATTGCTCTGTAGAGAGAGCAGCAGTGCGTGGAAGGGAGGGCTGCAGAGGAGACCAGGAGCCTCAAGGTCACCACCTGGAATTATCAGTAGGATTCAAAGGGACTCTAGAGCTTTAAGGAACAGAGAGTCATATAGTTGGGAAAAAGGAATGTTCAACTAAGATTGCTAAATTAGATATACAACTGGTTAACTTTCCATAGAAGAATAAAAGAATACCACCATTGCAGTTAACTTCTCTACCAGTCTAGGAAGTTATAACAGTGTATTAGTTCTGCAGTTTACCCCTAACCTTACCAGGCTATTAATTGTCCAAGCCTCTATAAGTTATAAGTTGTTAATCAAATGTATTGCAATATTCTCCCTGAGTGGCAGATTAAGGTCAATCAGGCGATGAAGAAAAATTATCCACACTTGGCAATAAGGCAATAAAGCAAAGGGTTACATGTCCCGATTACATGTTAACTTACAGATTTTTGTCCAGTAGAGATGCATATTTGTTTGGTAGGAAAGATAATGCCAAAAGATTGTGGGTTTATTGCCTTATTAACAAGTCTGGGTTCTAATTTAGGAAACTTATTTCAGCCAGCATGCCTTTCCTGGCCAACTTTATAAACCTCTCTTCCTTGAATTCTATGTTGGTGGATCACACACACTGCAATTAACAAGGAAATTCATTCATTTATTCAGAGAACATCAGTGACGACTATATGAAAACAAATGTTGGAAAAGAGAACCAGGAAGCTTCTAGCTCACCACCAAGAATTGTGTCAGATATGGTGTACAAGTCTTGGGTTTGAGGATTCTAGGAATCTGAATTCAGAGCTACTTTTTCCTGATGCATTTTATTCTGAGGACCAAACACATGAAAATGAATCAGTGAATTAAAATCCCATTCTCTGCATTTTCTTTTCCTACTATGTGTGCAAAGACATAAGGAATCATTATAAATCATATTTAATAGTATGAGCACTGTTGATTGAATAGATGTGCTCATATTTTGATGTTGTAGAAATATGTTCATAAAATGAGAGCTTTTTGATTAGCTGTTCCTGCCTATTTAATACTGAAGTCTTGAATTCATATGGTGTTTCCCACCCATTCTCTTCCACCTCTTTATCTTTTATGGAGCACAGAATGCTAAGTACTCCTCTCCTGGGTAATAATATTGTTACCATTTGGTCAAAAATCTTGAAAAGCTCAGAAGTCCTGCTTTCTAATTACTCTCAAAAAGAAAAAAAAAAAGGAGTCAGACAACCACTGGCAAAGTCAAGTTTTAGATTTTGATGGAAGTCTTCCAGCAAATTGTCCTGATTCAGTCAGTTTAAGATTCCCAGAGACAAACAAGCCTGTATTCCAACAGATTTATTGACTAATTACGACAAGGGAGAGGAACATACACTGGAGAACCATGGACATTGCACCAAATGAAGACATAGATAGAGTTATTATAAAGTTTGGGAAAGGGTGGCGTTGAAGTATAATTTATAGGATGCAGTGATTTGATAGGTTCAAACCAAGCTGGAGTTGTGTGACGATCAGGTCTGGATTATGAAGTGGACCCAGGGTCCTATTGCTAGAAAACCACAAAGTTATGAAAACGTGGAATGTTGTCTTTGGAAATCCCATATTGGAAGCTGTGCCCCCTGGATTGAAGATGGAATCTTCAAGATTCCATCTCTTTACCAAAAGAACTTAGACCCTCCAAGCAAGGGTGAGATGTTTTATCCTTGCTAATATCATTTCAAGCAGCAAGTTTCCGATAGTGTGTGGATTTTGGCAACAAAGTTCCTCAGTGAGTGAGGAAGCACTAGTCATTCAAAGAAGGGTTGTTGGGACATTTTACAGCTGTGGCAAGTTCTTAGGAGAATGTTTCCCATTAAACTTGCAGCTGGCTTTCTCTGTTTCTGTTATTCCAGCCTCATGAATGGCAGGGCAGATTTTTGCTATCTCAGACTGAGCTAGTTTCTCCTTTCTCAATGCCATTGAGTATGTAGTGGTTTATCAAAGGACTTTGCAAAAAGAATCTTATTTTAACTTCACCACAATCATGAGGTGTAAGGCAAAACAAATGTCAATAGCCCCGTTTTATACCTGAGGAAACCAAAGCACACACGTTTAAGGTTCTCCACTCCTTCTTCTCTTTCCATAATGCCAAATAGCGAATTAAAAGAACAACTAGAATTACCATCCTTGATTTCTAGAACTCAATCCCATAGCTCTTTCTTTTCTTTAGAAAGGTAGAGAGAAATGATAATCAACATGTCTCAATCCTGACTGTGAATTGTGTGAAATGTCAAGATTTAGCACTTTTCAATGTACAAATTACTGTTTTCCTCTCATATCTTATAGACCCCATGGATATTGGAACCACTTTTACTCTGTGCATACATGTTAGAAGAGAGGTATGTGCAAATCAGACTTCTTGGTATGCAAATGAATCTTTAACATTTCTACAAAACATTAAATCCGGTTGTTTGATGGATGATTCAAAAGTAGGATAATAAATTTAAAGAGTCCAGATTCATCTTTTTTATTAAAGAGGCTATCTGTTATATGAGATAGAACCTGAACATTCATAATTGCTAAAAGAGAAGTTTCTTTTTTTTTTTTTTTAAGTAGGCTCCACACCCAGCAGGAAAGCCCAGCTTGGGGCTTGAACTCACAATCCTGAGACCCTGAGATCCAGACCTGGCTGAGATCAAGAGTCAGACATTTAACAGACTGAGCCACCCAGGTGCCCCAAGAGAAGTTGTTTCTTGCTTGCAAGAATGATCTCTGTGGTCTTCCAGGCCATGACTAGAAGGAGGGGTATGGGGAGATTGGGTGTGGATCAGTGTCCACTCCGGTTTACAGAGGACAGGCAAAAGTGAGGTCATCAAAAATACCAGCACTCCCACAGAATGTTCTTCTTACTAATTTTACAAAGGGAATGTCCTCTGGGCTCATCTGGATGACAAGCCATATGGCATGTCTTCAAGCATGTCTTCATGTGATATACCCATGTGAACATTCCTACCTCTCTGAGTCTTCTGACCCCTTCTTTGGTACTATGCCAAGGCTTTTGGGGCATCTCCACCTCATTTGCTAAATGCCATTCTTTTGTCCAAGCTTCAAAGAGCCAGTTCAGTCATAGACAGGACCAGCCCCAGATGCCCTTGCCAGTGCCTTCTACACCCTGATCAGAGGAGAGGACTTCCATATCAATGGAGTCTCCATTCTCCAGTCTTATATTCTACCCTTCCAGGTCCTACATCCCAAAAACCCACTCCTACAAGTGTTTCTCTCTTGTTTCCAATATACATTAGCCAGTTCTTGCTAGGCTATTCTTATAGGCAATACACAACCCTTGAGTTTTAATGGCTTAGACAACAAAGTCTACTTTTGCTTACTCAAGTCACAGTGGATCTGGGAGCCCTCCTGGGGTGGTAGTGAATACACGTACCAGGCAGGGTCAATCTCTAGGCTCTGTTGTCTCAAAACAGGGCCTGTGTAATCAACGTGGCAGGAGAGATTACACAGAATTCTCACTGCCCTTCTGCGAATCAGCTTGCAAATGACATATACCACTTCTGACTATAGTTCATTGGTCAGTGTCTCAGTCATTTAGCCACGCTTAATGCGAGTGGCTGGAAAAGTTAGGAGGATGTATGTGATATTTGGAGAACACTACTGTTTCTGCCATAAATAAAAACAGTAGGCTGAAAAGAACCCATTCTAGATAATAGTGAAAGAATAAAGCCACATTGCTGATTCCCCTTCATTCAACAAAGCAAACAAAAAGGAGTTAACATTTAAAAGGTAAATCTAAATGAAAAATATAACTTTATCAGGAGGTAAAGGATTAAAAATAGATGACGCAATAGGAGAGATCTCCAAGAATAAAATACTTTGCTTGGTCAGTGATGAGAATGTTCTTTCTTTCTTTTTTTTTCAGAGCATCATTACCTCAGGACCTAGACAAAGGTCTCTTTGGGAAGGTCTAAGAACCATACCAATTTTGGTTTTTATGGCCTCTGTTTGAGTATCCATCAACTAGCTAAGTAGACAACTAGAATTGCTTCCCTTTCCTTGAATTAACATTTCGAATACAGAATCCCTACTATGTGTAGCCACCATGATACATTCATGCATCTCTGACATGATTTTAAACACTTTACATAAATTAATTTAATCTTCAAAATTACCCATTCCAACAACAAAATTTTATTATTGAATGGCAAAGAGGTGTGTTGAAGACTTACCTTTGGAACCAGCTGGAGGCAATGATTCGTGAGGTCGAGGTATTTCCCTGAAGGGTGTAGCGCATGCTCTGAACCAGCTACCAATATGTTGTACTCTTTGTCAGGTACGCTAGCCAGAATATATTGGATCTGGGAAACCGTCAGGCAAGGCTGATTGATTTGGCTGGTAAAGAAATAATGTGCCCTTTTTAGATCAGTTTATTACTCACATAAACAGCAAAAGCAGGAAGAGCAAAGGTGCCAGCTCCCCATGTCCTTTATCCCATGGGGTGCCACCAAACGAGAGGGGATGTGGATGGCATTTGATGCAGCATGTGATACAGCACACATTCATGCTGAAATGGAGCAGTTCCAGAGCCTGCAGCTACCACCCAGAGAAAGAGGCAGAAGGCCTCACACCTCATCGGAACTTGCAATGTGAGGAGAGAGTGTGTCATGATAAACTGTGGAAGATAAGGTGGTGACTGGGACAAGGTCTTGTCATAGTGCTTCACAAGTGTCCCATGCTCTGTGTTCTGGAAAGATCACAGGGCAGTCTGCCAAGACTTAGATCAAATCAGCTGCAGTTAAGTCTTGCCTATGTGGTCTATGTGGAGACTTGCAAGGTCACCAGGGCGCCACGGCAGAACCATTTGCTAACACAACCAAGATTTGTCAGAGATTTTGGTGCCCAAGTGAAGAATACTTCCATCTGCTGAACCAGTTATGATTCTGTGAGTTGAAAACTGGCTATGCTCTGCATCCATTACAAGCTTCCTGATGCCACTGGGTATGAGGCCAAAAAGGATACTATCCAGTATTCAGGAAGGTAATCAGTGACCATGATATATAAATAACAATAGTTTTCTATAAAAGCCAATAATTGGTAATAAAATATATTGGGGAGAAAGTTCACATTCACAATAGCAAGAAAAAATATTAACTGCCCGAGCATTAAAAAAAAGAAAAGAAAAGAAAGAAACGGGTAAGTCCTGTGTGGAGAGGGGAAAAGAGGAGAAAACTTTAAGGACCTAATAAAAGATTAAAATAAATGGAAGCACATAATACAATCCCTTATAGAAAGACCCGATATTTTCTACTGTAAATTTCACTCCAAATTATTCAATAAGAGAACTTGACAAGATAATTTTATATTTCATTTAGAAAAATAAATGAACTAAAATGGCAACAAAAAAAAATTTGAAAAAGTTGTTTGCACAGCCACAGGCAGAATTGTCAGTTGGAGGGACCACAGACTCATCAGGTAGCTGCTGAAGGCTCTGTTGGGGTGAGGGGAAGGGCTACTTCATGAAAGAATGCGCTCCAATTGAGAACTATTCTCCCTTGTTTTCCTGAATCGCAAAAGTGTTTCTGAAACTATTCTCAAATATGGCCTGTAGCTGAAGTCCAAGCTTGATGAATTTCTGGTTGTCCTGAAAAAGCAAAGAGAAAAATGAGAATGACCATAGCAACTGAGCTTAGGCTCTCCATGTTTCATGTAATCCAGAGCTTCATTTTAAACTATCCCAAATGTTAAGTGAGAATTAATAGTCAAGAGTCTTATGGTCCCTGATAGCTTGATAATTTCTCTTTACCTGGAAGACAGAGATGTAAAAATAGTACTGTATTATAGTCTAATTCTTCATCAGAAATTTATTGTTAATTTTTAAAAAATACTAGTTGCTTGATTTTCAAACACAGCACTTATGACTTGCAACACTACAATGGTGGGGAACCAGTGGAGATAGGGAGATGTTCAGGTGTGAGAGGTAAGCTCCCGTCCCAACATTCCTGAGGTCCTGGATGCCAGGTGGCGGGTGCGCAGCAGCGCCAGCAAACTGCGCACGCGCATACTCTACGCCTGCGCATCCAGTCTCTCAGCTGGCGCCTCTGGCTGAGTAAGGATAGGAAGCCGGGGCAAAGGCGGAGACTTCTGGGACACACACAGAGCTACCCAGGTCCAGAAAAAAAAATGCGTTTCCATTTCTCGTGGAAGGAAATAGGTCTGCAGTCCACTGCTTTCTGTGGGTGAACACTGAGTATCTAGAAGTGCGTAAACTCTGAGGTCCTAAGGTAATGTCTGCAAAGAGACCTGGTTTGTTACTATTTCCCCACCTTAGACCACAGGGCTTTTAGAATACCTCCAGAATTTGCACTTGGGTAGGCTTGCCACAAGATGAGGGCAACTGTAACATTTACCTGATATAAGAGGATGAACGGCAAAGTGGCTTAATGGAAAGAAAGAGGGATGCAGAGGGAACCACTCACCTTGTAAAAAGCCCTGTGGTTCTGAAAGATGAGGCACATGTCCTGCACAAACCCCTCCACTTGGAGGTACAGTTTCCTATTCAGCTTTTTCTTGATTTTGTTTAACCACATGGGTCGCTTTAGGCCATGAGACGTGTCGTTACTCTGTTGACAAAGTGCGGAAGGGCAGACTGTGAGCACTGTTCCAAGTCTACCCATTGTTACAGACCAAGCGCTTGTGTCCCCCCCAAATTCCTATGTTGCAATCCTAACCCCCAATGTGATGGTATTAGGAGGTCGGGCCTTTGGGAGATAATTAGATTGTGAGGATGAGCCTCATGAATGGGATTAGTGCCCTTATAAAAACAACCCCAGAGAGATCTCTTCTTCTCTTTCCACCATGTGAGGGCACAAGAAGAAGTTGGCAGTCTGTCGGATCCCACCAGCACCCTGATCTCAGGCTTTCAGCCTCCAGAGCTGGGAGAAATATCTGCTGTTTGAGCCGCCCTGTCCACAGTACTTTGTGGTAGCAGCTTAAGTGGCCAAGGACTGAGTAAGCTGACTCAGATATCCACCAACAAGATGAAGATAATGACAAGTGACCCCATTGGACCCATATCACAAATTTGACAATGCCAGTTTCGGCTTTATTGCCATTACTTACATAATGTGGTCTTGAGGCAAAAAAGAGGCTTTTTGAACAGCAGTAGACCTTCAAGAGGACAAATTCACATTTCTGCAAAAGACAGATGAGATTTTAAGTGAAAAGCAGCTTGGAGAGAATGAAGTGTACATGTGCTCAGACAGAATGCACAGCTCCCAAAACTGTGGCCTATGCAACAAACACGGAATGGGAATTTTCTTTGGAATACAGATTTTAGTGTTAGGTCATGTGATCAAAGCACAGCAGGGGACAGCAGTTCGCCCGTGGGCACCATCCCTCCAGCCCCTGCAAGACTGTGCTTCTTCTCTCAAGTCAACAGAAAGGAGGAGACTTCAGGTTTATATTTCAACTCACCAACTGTTCCTCAGGCACCATCCGCCTCTTTAGGACCTCAGATACTTGGTGGCATCGTTGGCTTTGTGGGTACCTTTGCTGAAGAGCCTTTATCCTGCAGAAGATGCAACTCCATGGGTCCCTGAGAGGTTGGGCATAAGGTCAGCAAAGGTAGGTTCTCCGTGATTCAGTCACTGTTTCTACAGCTGCTAAAGTCCTCTGTTCAGGAATGACTGATGGTTTCCACATTGTATCCAGCTTCTCTCTTGGACACTCCTCTGCATTAGAGCCCCATTTGGGTACAATTGCCAGACACCCCTCCCATTAACAGTGGTAGCAGGACTGACAGTTTGTTGAGTGAGCTGCCATGGTGGGTGATGGTCTTTCATTCATCTCAAAACTTAGAGTTCTTATCTGAGCCACTGTGGACTCAGTAATGAGCCCTGCCTGTTAAAATTTCCAATTGGTACTTTCAGCACTGGAGTCTTGGGCCTCAGTGAGCCATCAGACCATAGTAAAAGGAAACCACCTCTTGTTTCTCAACTTTGCTGAGTAAGTACAGAGTTACAGACATCGTCTCCTCTGGCACTGCCATTACCTGGGCCTAGAATCTATGCTGCAGAAATTTCTTGGAAAGGAAATCTATGAACAGAGTAGTGTCAGACATCTGCCATTTGCCTTGAGATTCATTCTCCATTCTTCTCTGTGCTGAAGGGCTCTCGATAATCAAGTGGATACAGTGATCCTTCCTAGATATGTCATTTGCCTTTTTCCTGGGCTACTCCAGTGCTTGCCCAAGGGGCCCATTCCTGAGTACCCGTGGTGCAAGGATGGGGACTATACATGGGCTCAGCAATAGAGCAGGCCTGTCTTCTGCCTCTGCAGCTTGTCCAACTGCAGAGCTTTATGCAGAATCCCTAAGATGACACTATTCCCTGGGAACTACCTGGGAGCAGGTGGATTACCCTGCTCCCATTACCAAGGGGGCAATGCTCTGTCTTCATAGGAATGGACACAATACCGATGGAAATCATCCATCCTCCCTGGTCACAGCAATTCTGCCTACACTATCACTTACAGAATGCCTTATCAATCTCCATGTTATCCCTCATACCATCATCTCTGACCAAAGATATATTTTAAGGCAAAGGAAATGTAGCATCAATGGCCATCGAAGGCTCATCACAGTCCCCAATTTGTCAACTTTTTGATGTTCCCATAGCAGGTGGTATATGCTTTAAACCAGCACCTAATGTATGGTGTAATCACCACAACAAAGTACCTGGGTCTGGGAACCAAGTGGGGGATATGGGGGTGACATCTCTTTCTAGTACAGCTAACAACAACTTGGAGAGTTTTTGCTTCCCATTAATCTATTGCTGCTTGAACCATTAAACAACTCTGGATCATATTTCTGGATCCTGATACTTTAAGACTCTGCTCCCTTTGCATCAAGACACGTACAACCGGAGACAAATTCTGCAGACTGAGTGTGCATGGTTGGAGGAGCTGTGCCACAGGAAGGAATGGCAAAAGGGGACCAGGCTCACTAACCTGTTAGCATCTATATGGTGGATGTGGCATTTCTCATGAAAGGACTTTGGACAAGTATCGCAGCAGAACAGCTTTCCAGGTCCACGGCACACCTCACATATATTTGAGTTTCCCGGCTAGAAGGGGAGATAATGCAGACATCACTGGAATCAGTGAGACCCCAGAAGGTCAACACACTGGGACGCTAGAACGCATGACCTTTGCTTGTACCCAGGTGACACTTACAGATTTCTCTCCTCAAAATATTGAGTGAAGATTTTGGAAGAAGACATTCTGGTCTGCGGCAAAGTTTGGGAAGAAGTGGCTATTAGACCACTGAAGTTTTTTTATGAAGATAGAGATTCTGACACATTTTCTTTAATCTTTTAGCAAGAAATTTGTCCTTTTGCTTGGCAGTGGTTCTCAACCTGCTATACAGTAGAATCACCTAGGGACCTTTAAAAAATTCTGATGCCCGGGGCGCCTGGGTGGCTCAGTTGGTTAAGCGACTGCCTTCGGCTCAGGTCATGATCCTGGAGTTCCAGGATCGAGTCCCACATCGGGCTCCCTGCTCAGCGAGGAGCCTGCTTCTCCCTCTAACCCTCCCCCCTCTCATGTACTCTCTCTCTCTCATTCTCGCTCGCTCAAATAAATAAATCTTTAAAAAATAAATAAATAAAAAAAATAAAATAAAAAAAAATAAAAAATTCTGATGCCCAAGGTCCCATCCTCAGAGATTCAATTAATTGCACATGATTTTGGTTGTTTGCTTCACCGGGCCGGGGGGGGGGGACATAGGCAGACTAGCAACAACCACAAAAAAGGATGAATTAAAGATAATCTGAGAAATTTATTATTTTGCTGGCAAAACTTGGCTCAGGAATATAATACAGTGTTTTATCTAGTTATCTACATTGCATCATCTACATTGACTCACTGAAGAGTGATTTACCAAGAATTTAATATAAGAGATTACACTTCTGACATATCACTGCATCCTATTTTCTTGGCCATAAGTTCCCCATGATTTGAAGGGCCTGGGGAGGAGTTCCCGCACTATGGACTCCGTGCCTGGAGGGCCCCTGGGCCTGTGACAGTACCTCTGGGTTGGAAAGACGTAGACACAGATGATTAGGTGGATGCCAGGGAGGACAGAGCTCTTTGGCTCTGGAAGCCTGGGGGGAGATGTCCCATGGTTTAGCTCAGCATGTAAGGTGTGGAGGTGCCATCCCCAAATGACCAGGGATTGTGGTAACAGTGACGACCACAACTGAAGGCCTAGGCCATACCCTCATTTTCTGAGGACATTCAAGACCTGGTGTTTTTGTATATAAGGAAGGTGGAGGGACCCACAAAATTGGTTGATGCTTGATTTTTCACCAATCGCAATATGTGGGACCTTTAGCCAGATTTAATTTCCTTTAGTGAAGTTAAACATTTGATAGTGTTTGTATCTAAGTATTGTGGAGTAACAAACACATGTTAAAAACAACAGAATTAATAGACCAAAATAAATCTTGGTCAAGGAATGAGCCCATTGATGGGTAAAAGAAATCACATTTTTTTCCTGTTGTGTGTGATAATCTATGTGGCAATAACATGTGAATCCATACATACTACAATTTCTATGTAAGAAGGTTTTGTGCCTGGGCTGGAGAAATGCCCAAAAGGATGAGCACCTGGCCCCTCTCATAGGACCACCTGAGCAGCAAGAGAGCCAACTGAGGAAGACTATGTGATGGGGAAACATTTCATCCAATGGGTGGCAACTCTACACCTAAATGAAAATATCCTGTTTATACCATGGGTTGGAAGAAGGATTTACATCCTCTTGTGACAATCTAGGTACGAAATAATGCACAGATTTGGGGGCTGGCCAACCCAGCGATGGGTGGTCGGGACTCTTGGTGGCAATGAGGAAGTGGGGAGGTGACAGGGAGCACCATTCCATCTCTTCCTTCTAGAAACACTCTTTATGCTTTGTTCCGTGATATTCTACTCTCTTGGATTTTTTTCTAAACCTCTGCTGCTTTTTTTCAGATATCCAATTCATCACCAGTCCTGCTGATCCCATTTTTCAAACCTCCCATCTCCTCCTCAGTGCTTCTGTGAGGTCTACAGCCACAAGGATGCAGATGCCTTACTTATTAGCCAAAGCACAGCAGCCTGCTTTTTAGGTTCTAAATCGTAGCAGTCAGAATGTCATCCCTGCACCCAGTGAGCTGATGTGAATTGGGACATATCTCAATTTGTAAATTCTTTTCATCTATAAATTCAATGTAAGAAGAAGGGCCACAAAAGTCACACGTAAGAGGAAATTCTAGGCTCCTGTATCTTGCCCATGCACTCCCTTTATTGAAAGGGAAAACTTAAGGAATGGCCTGGAAGGGACATCCCTGGACACATCCCCACCTGGGCCTGGCATGGGCTGTGTAAATATTTTTCTTTTTTTGTCATAACAGATGACACTCATAGATGCTGACCATTGCTGGGTGGAGGTTTCTAGACTATCATCTTATAAAAAGTGCACTGTAAGCAGGCCCTGAGAAAGAAGGAATAAACATGACAATCCCGTGTTGGAAGGTCCATAGTCTAGGAGCCCACAAACTCAACATATATCTCTTTAATCTTTTTAACAAGAAATTTGTCCTTTTGCTTGGCAGTGGTTCTCAACCTGCTATACAGTAGAATCACCTAGGGACCTTTAAAAAATTCTGATGCCCAAGGTCCCATCCTCAGAGATTCAATTAATTGCACATGATTTGGGTTGTTTGCTTCACCAGGGTGGGGGGGACATAGGCAGTATGGTTTAAACATTCCCCAGATGGTTTTAAGGTGCAGTCCTTAGTGGATACCTCTGGATTCTAAAGCAGTGGTTTTGGGATGAGCAGCAGCAGCATCCACTGAATCTTGTTGGAAGTGTAAATCCTCAGACCCCATCCCTCACTCCCTGAATCAGAAGGCCAGGAGATTCAGATGAATACTACACTGTGGCCCACAACTTTGGCTGTGGTGCATTAAAACCACCAGAGGAGCTTTGGAAAATCTTGACCCTCAGGCAGCACCTTAGAACACTAACATCCGAACCTCTGTGGGTGGGACCTCCCGCTGATTGCCGTGTGCAGCCAAGGTTGGAGGCCCAAGGTCTAGCAGGATTTCTCCCAGCAAAGTCTGGGAGCTGGGAGTAGAGTCATTATCAGCCTACGAAATCTGTCACAGAAAGTTTATGAAAAGGAGTGAGGACATTCTTGTTAGAAGAGTTGCCTTTTTATCTTCACAGAGGGCTTGGTTGTGAACTGTGAGAAATAACCCTCCATGTCCATTCCAGTTATCAGAAAAGTTGTGCAGACCCCAGAGATGAGAGCTACTCCACTGCTCAAGGGTCCCACCTCCAGCAGAGGAATCGAAGTCATGTGGCTGCATCTAGATCATGCTGGGCAATGCATTTGCTAAAAGAACAGAGGGCATGGCAACCCTTTTCTACCCTTCTCCATAAGCATCCCTTATCAGTACAGCTGCCCATCATTCAACAGTGAGAGCCCCCCCGGAGTTGTGCAAAAAAGTGATTCAGCCTGAAACGTCCATCTTGTTGCAAAGAAAGCAAAGTGTGATTTGGCTTAGAGGGAGGGGCCATCTGTGATGTTGGCAGACTTTAATGCAGGCAGCTGTAACAAGCAGGGCCTGTGGAATCAGAAGGGTCTGCACATAATCAAGCACTAGCCAAGCAGTTTGAGTAAAAATGTCTGTGATTTGCTATATGTTGATAGTTTCCGTCTTAGCCAGCTCAGCCCCCTGCTGGCTCCCTTGAGATGGGCTCCAGGGCCTCCATAAAGGACCCTGCAGATATTTCCCTGCATCACCCACTTGCCCTATGTACATTTCTCTGCAGGACTGGTGACAGAGTCCACCCCTGGACTTGCCAGCTTGGCTCAGCCTGTTCCTTCTCGCGGATGCTTCAACCCTCTTAGCTCTGCCTCTGTCTTGGCGTGGATGTTTGTGATCTTCCTTTCCTTCCTTATCACCTTCTTCAGAATGCTGCTCTTCTCTCAAATGTGTTCCTTACCCGTCATGTGCAGGCCAGCCTCGGCTATTACCACTTTAAGTCTTGGCTCTAGAGACCCCAGTGGTCTAGCGCTCCGCCTCCCATACTCACTCTCAAAGGGAAATAAGGAAACAGGAAAGTTTCCCTGAACAAATGGAAAGGGAGCTTTCATGCAGAAACACCAATTCCAAAATCATCTCGCTGGTGTGGGTGATACGTCCGTCTGCGGTTCTCTGCTCATCACACACAGTGACACACTCCAACTGAGTGTGAGCACACTTCAGAGAAATGCAGCAATGATACAGGTCATGTATGGAGGGACAAGGCCTGGATTATTCTGGGGTCACAGTTGGGGGAGTTAGTACTTACGTAAGGGTCAAAAAAGTCATTGCTGCTAGGCTCTGGTATTGTCTGCTGAAAAGAGAAAAAGATTGAGTGACTATATTGAATATGATTTTTCATTAACCACGCATTTGAGCAGATTTCTTTATGTAAAAGATTCATGCCACAGCCTTCCCTTTGCTTTATATTTGCATTTATGGGTCTGTATATCTAATTGGAGAATAAAAAAGCATGACATTTTATGTCACTGACAGTTTGGCTCAATGCAAGCTCCATTCTCTGGCTGTCTGACTCAAGGCAACCCTTTGTGAAGCCACACGGGGAGCCTGGTCCTGGATTCCACAAATAGAATTGGAGCTGCAGTGAGGGAATCAGGCTGAGGACTGAATATCCACGACCCCCAGCGACCACAGCACTCAGAGTCCTGGACACCATGCAAGTGTCCCCGAGAACCCCACTGCCTTCTGCAGCTCACCCAGGGCCTAACCTGAAAACAAAATGGATCTAAGGTCCCCAGTCCTGGCCCTCTTCTTCCTGAAGCTAAGCACCTCTCCACTTTCTTCTGAATCCCAAAAGCATGCACTGACCTTGGATATCTGTGGAATGACTTGGCCTCCTTCAGTCTGGAACAAAGGCTGACTCAGCTTCTACCTCCCACCCAGGCATTGAGGCCACAGATAAGCCACTCAGTGTGATCAAAAGCACAATGACCTGGGAGACAGCCACGCCACTGCCTGCCTCTCAGAGTGGCCTAGAACCCCCCATCCCCCCCGCCCCAATAGTTATTGTCCCATGTTAGACAACGAAGTTAAAACAGTTCCTTGGGTCTGTCGCTTTGACCTCCTGTGCACAGCCACTGGCCAAGCATATGCTTAGTGCTTAGTGTTTGCTCCACAGGTGTTTGTTGAATGGATAGAGAAGTGAGCAAACAAATGAACACAGCTGTCACTCAGGAGATGAGGTTTCTTAGCAGCCAGTAAATGATTAGCGTGGAGTTTTCTATCTTACTCTCTTGGAACACCTCAGCTATCACTATTGGGTTTAACAGGAATCTTATGAGCAGGGAAACTGCCAATAGCACCACCTGTCATTTGATGGCACCAGGGACAGAAGCCTAGGGGCTGGGGAAGGAAAAGAACTTCTGGGGAGATGCTCTGAGAACGGAGGTAGTCACACCTTAAGAGTTGTAAGCCCTGAGGGAACTGAGAGATGGCATTTGTGATGAAGGGATGGGAGACGGCCAACTCAATTGACTAACCCAGACTGAGTTACCCTTGACTCCCTAGCGCTGGGCAGAGATGTTTGCTCTTAATGAACAGAGCAAATAATGTGTCTTTCTCCAGAAAACCCAGTGGAGGCAGGCCCTCGTGACTGAGTCACTAGCATAAAGCAGTGGGGCGGGTAGCCCCAGAAACCAGCTTTGTGAAGTCTGTGACTTTTGGGTGCAGCAGAGATGGACCAAGGCCACCACAATTGGAGGTTAGAGAAATGGAAGCTCTTCCATCTCCTTTGTGTACCACACAGGTTCTCTCTCACACCTGCTCTCGGAGAGGCCATGGAAGACATCAATTATCCCATCTCCTTCCTTGGAATCCATGCACCATGGAAACCACTGGTCCATGAACTCCACATGCAACTTGGAAGGAAAGAGAATTCACCTCCATAGATGGAACTGAGGTTTGCAAAGCCCCTCTGGTGAGGCCTGATGCTTTCACGCAGACACCCAGCTCCAAAACCATCTCCGTGGTGTGGCCTCTCCATAAAGCAGAAGATCTCCCGGGTCAGCAGTGTCTCACCCCTGGCACATCAGCCTTCCAATCTCTCTATTCTCAAAGGTGATATCTCCATAAAGGAAATGAACGATCCTTTAAAGAAGGATCCCTTGAAGAAGGACTCAGTGTGAATGTGCGTGTATGCATGTGAAGGAAAGGAAAGATACAAAAGAAAGGGAGAGAATGGGATTTGGGTTGTTTGCTTCGCCAGGTGACACACGGCTATTATCCATCCCAAGAGGGTGAGACATTGGCAGAAAGTCATGTGATAATTACCTCTCTTCTTCTTCTTATTGGAGGGTCTGGTAGATATTTATTCTGAAAAAGAAATGAGATGAATGCTATGATGGGTCCTTGTTTCTACTCTGTGAGCTTGGTATTTCCAACCACCCTCCAGATATGTCCCACTGTCAACACAAATTCAAAGTATCTTCATGGAAAATAATGTCCCTCTCCAAATCTGAAACACACTGCTCTCTCTTACCCAGACTCAGCTTTAAGGTGAGCTTTGAAAACTGCATCCTCTCTTGCTTTCCTCATAGCCTTGCCAGGTTTTCCTTCACAGTGTCTTCTATACCCACTGCTTCCTTTCCATTCCCCAGGGCCCCTCTAGCTTGTGTGTTTATACCTTACGTGCTAGAGCTACCCACTGCCACATAATCTGGGGAGTGACAGACAGGGTGCAGGCCCCATCAGTGGCCCTGGGCACACAAAGTTGTCTAGGCCTTTGGGGAGACAAGTAGGATGAGCCTTATAGGATGGGTAAGGATGATAAAGTGTAAACCCTGCTCTCATAGAGTATTTTCGGATCCAGAGACAGGTGACTATGGTAGGCTGAATAATGGCCCCCAAAGATGGTCAGATTCCAACCCCCCGGCTTCTGACTATGTTAACTTAAGTGGTAAAAATGACTCTACAGATGTAATTAAATTAAGGACCTTGCAATGGGGAGATCATTCTGATTATCTCTGTGGGGCCAATGTAATGACAAGCATCCTTTTGCCAGGAAGGCAAGAGGATCAGAGTGAGGAGCAGGAGATGTAATGACAGAACACATTGGAGTGATGCCAGGAGTGATGCCAGGAAGGGTCTCAAGCCAAGGAACGCAGGCAGCTTCCAGAAGCTGAAAAAGGCAAGGAACAAATTCTCCCTGGAAGGCTCCAGGAAGAACCAGCCCTGCTGACACCTTGACTTGAGCCCAGTGAAATTGATTTCAGACTTCTAGCCTCCAGACCTGTTAAGAAAATGGATTTGTATGGTTTTAAGCCACCCAGGTTGTAAAGAGGTGTTAGAGCAGCGACAGGCAACAGGTGTGGTGAGAATGTGCTGTTTGAGCTGGGCCTTGTGGGCTGAGCAGGGGTGGATCAGGCACAGAGGCGGTGAAGGTCATGTGAGGTCTTCATGGCTGCCAGCACTCCACCCTCCAACCCATCCTGCATTCTCTGATCAGATTAATACTTCTAAAGCTGTGTTTCACCTGTATTAGCCAGTCCCTAACCCATAACCCTTCCACGATCCCCCCATGATTAAAGGAAGGGTCCAGACTCCTTCCTCCAGCCCCCAAAGTCCAAGACCCCCACCTCTCATTTAAATTACTTTCCTGTGACCACAGTACACAGTGGCAATTATTCATGGCCCCATCAGAGCGACAGTTTCCTGTCCAACCTTCAAAAGGTTAAGAGTTCATGCATTTAGAGGATTAAGCTGTACTATAAAGCAGCCAAGATGTTTCTGAGTGCAATGTTAGTAACACATGCATTGTGACCTGGGCAAGGGCATCGTGAGAGTTTTCTGGACACTGAGAAATTCTGCTAATGCTTGGAGCTGGTGAACAGTGACACTAAACCCTGCATGTAAGCCACTTATCATTGGGATACCTTAATCAGGTCTTTCAGGGGGAATCCACCACATCTCACACTCATCTTCCAGTTCTTGGACCGTGAGTAGTTTCCTTCAACTTCGAATTCCCTGAAGGTAAACCATCTTCCATCCTCACCCTTTATACACTTCTCTGAGGTTCCTGTGAGACCAAAACAAGGAGTTGCCAGGGAGTGTCCCCCACCAACCGGAGAACCCCCACAATGTGGCCTTCACCATGGACCTGAGCCACCTGTCTTGGGCTCAGAATCTACAGCAGGAAAACTGAGATGGCTCTCAGTAGCCCCCCAAGCAGCCCAGAAGGCAAGGGCAGGACAGGACTTCCTGTCCTATGTGCACACGTCTTTGACTTTTGTTTAACGAGGACAATAATTAGCACCAACGTTTATTTTTAAAAAATATTTCGCTATATTCAAAAGAGGAAAAACTGAATGGCTCCAAAGATGAATGAGCAGGATTCTTTTCCTCCCCTTCTCTGAGAGCCAGGCTGAGTTTCAGAGGGGGCAGACGAAGCCACACGGGGGGCAGTGCAGAAGCTGTCACCACAGCCACACCTGCCTCCTCTTGTACAACGTTGGTCATCCAGCTGATGGCAATCAATTATTTCTCATATTTTGGGGCCGCCTGTGTGGCTCAGTCAGTTGAGCATCTGACTCTTGATTTCAACTCAGGTCAGGATATCAGGGTGGTGAGATCGAGCCCCGCACTGGGCTCCGCACTGGGCGTGGAGCCTGCTTAGGATTCTGTCTCTCCCTCTCCCTCTGCCCCTTCCTCCTCTATCTCTCTCTCTCCCTCTCTCTCTCTCTCTCCAAAAAAATTATTTCTCATATTTTGGACTCATAACTACTCTATGGGAAAAGTGATTATGGAAATGTCATCAAGTGGGAAGAGTTAAATTGTACATCTAAAATATGGTCACAGGGCAAACATTGATACATGTTGGTGCCTAAAGAACTATATTTGGGTGGGGGAATCAATTATGACAGATGAACATTTGTACTGTGCTTTAACAGTTATGATTTGCCAAGTATTTTATATCTGCCGTCTCATTTCCCCCCCTCATAATAACACGGTGAGGCAAGTTTCATTATTATGCCCATTTTGTTCGGGTGGAAGGTCAGGATAAGAGAGACTAGCAATTTGGTCTAGATGGAACAGACACTCATGGTATCACTGGAACTTGAATCCAGGTCCTCTAATTCTAAATCCTGGGCTCCTCTCCATTAGCATAAGGCCATACAGATGTTAAGGGGAATGGGGCTGTGAAGGTTATAGCCAGATTTCCCAAATGTGTACATATTCCACCCTGATATTGAAGTACTTGGTCTCGCATTGGGTGCTGGATGGGCATCCTGTGGACATTTGCCCTGGGGAAAGGCGAGATGTCCTGTTGTGTTTATTAATTGTAAGTGTGGAAATGCCATCTTTCCTCCAGCTTATCTGGGATGCTGTACAGAAAAGAGATAATGGGTCAGACCAGAGGCTGCTATCTTTAGAAAGGTCTGCTTACAAGGTTGGCTCTTGGCTGGCATTGGGGAACTTGCATATGGGCAGGGGTCTCACGATTCCCAGACCTTTAAAGAGTGTCTCACTGTCCTAAGCTGTTTACATAAACAATATAAGTGGTTTATGCCGAACACCGGCTCTCCTTCTGGGAGTCTGAAATTTTGGCATGTGCTAGGCAGAGGACACCTACGTGACTAACCCCTGATAAAAACCTGGACTCCAAGGCTGGGGACCGTCTCTCCGGTAGACGGCATTTCACATGTGTTGCTACAATTTATTGCTAGAGAATTAAGTGTGTTCTGTGTGACTATCAGGAGAGACTCTTGGACACTGGCACCTGGTTTCCTTTGGACTTTGTCCTGTGTGTCTTTTCCTTCCTTGATTTTGCTTTGTACCCTTTTTAATCTAATAAATCATCACCATGAGTTCACTATATGCAGAGTCCTGTGAGTCCTCCTAGTGAATCACCAAACCTAGGGATGGTCTTGGGAGACCCCCGACACAGGCGTCTACCCCCTGAATAATATATTATTCACATGGGTATTTTCCAGTTGAAAAGCATAGAAGATCATGAAATCCACCTTGTTTCATTTTCTCCTTATATAAAATCCCCTTTGCCTCTCCACAGGTCACGGGAAGTTCCGGAAGGCAAAAATTCATACGTGTATCTCTGGGAATTCTTGGACCTGCAAAGAAGCATTATTTTTTCATTCCATCTTTCTCTACGACTATGCACTGTTTTGACCTCATCCATCTTGAGATCTTTCTTTTATCATTTAAAATGTATGGGAGGGCTTTTCCCCATGAACTCATTACCCTTCTAGGTCTTTCTTCTATGGCAGATTGGGAGCACAAAGATAATGTCATTCTGCAAAACCCTACCTTAAAAGCTTTGTGTGGAGGTGTCTGAATCTCCAAGTTTGTTGACCACAACTCCCCATTGTGCAATGATTTCCTCCTGCTGTATTATTGCTTTGAAGTTATGTAGCTGGAGATAAAACCTCAACTTTTAGTTTTGTTTCCCTGCTTGAGGAATCAGCTCAGGGACAGAAAGCAAGATTGCAATGGGGCACCTAGCAGGGCGGTGTCTCTCTTCTCTCCTTGCTCTCTGCTTTTTGCACTTCCTCATGTGAGCTTTCTCTGCGGCTAAAAGGGAAACTCAAGGTAGAGCATGCTAGAAATGCAAATTACTCAGGGAGGGGACCTCTGCACATCCTTTGGGTGGGGGTACTGGGATCTGATTCTGCTGAAGCAGGCGTTGCAAGTCTTAAAATGAACTTTAGAAGCAGGAGCATCTGCTCCTGCCCTTCTGACCAACACTTAGCAGGATTCATTAAAGACAAATGCTGGGGCTTCTCTATGGAATGGGAAGGGTGGGTGGCCGTGGCCCTTCCAGAGTTATTCTGTTAGAGCTGGGGTGGGCCTCGAAGGTCACTCAGTCTAATTCACCTGCCCATTTACAGAGAAAGAAAATGAGGCAAAAAAAAAACAAACCCACAAATGATAATCCAAAGTCACACAACCAAAGGAAGTTTGGGAATTAGGACACAGGTCTTGTATTACCACCCAGGGTCCCCCTTGATGGGCAACCTATGGCTCTCTATGTGGGCAAGAGAAGGGTCAGCTAAATATCATGAGAGTCATAACCTTTATATTTTTTTCTTTATATTTCCTTCCTCAAAAGTTATCAGTGTAGTCAAATAAGCCCTGTACAGGCCCAAGGAGGCCTGGGGTCTCTCAGATCAACTGGCTAATCAATGGAGTGGGTGTTATACCATCTTGTCTTGCTGTTGAAATTAACCAAGGCCAGTGAATAGCCTAACATTTGTTACTTGTTCTAAAAGCCAATTAAGAAAATTGATTGATCACTCAAAACACAGAGTATAAAATAAGAATTTAGAGACTTAATTATTAAAAGTATATTATTTACTTCCTTTTACCTCTTTTTCTGCCTCTTCTCAAAGACCCGGAGATGACTGTTTTTCTCCCTGAGAAAGTAAAAAAATAACACAAATGTTTGTGTTTATAACATTACATTGCAAACACCATTCAAATGTAACCTTTCAGAAGCCTGTCTAGTACTTCAAGAAAAATGGCAAATGTGTGAATGAATAAGAAGTCAGGAACTTTTTCCTATAAACTGACAGATAGTAAATACTTAAGGTACATAATTGCTGTTGTGACTATTCAAATCTGCTTTTGTATTATGAAACCATCCGTAGATAATATGGAAATGAAAAGATGTGGCTGTGTTCCAATAAAAGTTTATTTACAAAGAGTCAGTGGGCTGGATTTGTCCTGTGGGCCATAGTTTGCTGAACCCTGGCCTAGACTTAATTACAAAGATGATACTTAACTGAGATTCATCCTATATTTCTTTTACTATTATCTCCAAATAAATTTGAAACTGTGTTTTGTAGATTTCCGAAGCAACCGTGTAAGAAATATACTGAAGTTAGACATCTATTGAGTGCTTCTTGTGTGTCAAGAACTATTCTTAGACCTTGCCTCTATTAACTTACTTCATCCTTAGAACAAATTATCAAACAGGAACTAATACCATCCTCATTTTACAGATGAGAGAGTCAATGCTCACAGATAAAAATTCTGATTAAATGAAGGTCCTGAAGATTTCCTTTAATAAAGAGACAGACATAAAAGGTGGTAATACAGGGTTCCAAGGGAGATTTTATGGTGGATTCTACAGGTCAGATAGCTGCTCAAAACGCTAAACCTGAAAGAAGATATTTGTGCTGAAAGTGGTGGCAAAAACGAGAAAGGAGGTCAAAACTATATGAGGCTGAGATGGGCCTTGGAGGGCAGTCAAGCTATTATTATTTATCTTACTTTACGGATGAGTAAACTGAGGCAGAAGAGAGAAAGCGACACTCTCGAGTCCACACGATTACCTCAAGGTCATGGGACATGAGGAAGGACAGCTACATCGCTTGTGAATTACACAGTGTTTCACGGCTACAACTGCTTCCAGCCCTGAAAGTTATCAGTTCAGCAGAAGCAGCACTGCAGTGGCACTTGGGCCCCAGGTCTGGTTGCAGATTCATCACCAAATCACTTTTTTGTGGTAATATCATCTTTCTCTCCCTGTTACATTTTGGAAATTGACTAAATCTGATATATTTCTCAACAGTACAGCTACATAAAGCAATACAGAAGTAGGTTTGTTACTAAAAATGTAGAATAAAGCATGAGAACTTAGACATTTAGTTACTGAAAATGGAAAATGTATACTTTTTTTAAATTAATTTTTTTTTCTTTTTACCTTTTGGTTTGCCTCTGTTCCATAGGGCTCTGTTACTCAGAGTTTGGATTTTATGTCTGCCTCTCCTTCTCACTGAGAAAACAAAAAATAAAATAGAAAATATAAAAACGATGCTGCTGACATGCTACTAAACAACCAATGAGTCAATGAAGAAATCAAAGAAGAAATTAAAAAAAATATATAGAAACAGATGTAAATGAAAACACAACAGTCCAAAGTCCTTGGGACACAGCAAAAGCAGTTCTAAGAGGGAAATTTATAGTGATACAAGAATACCTCAGGAAACAAGAAAAATCTCAAATACATAATCTAACCTTATACCTAATAGAACTAGAAAAAGAACAAATAAATCCCAAGGTTAGTAGAAGGAAAGAAATAATAAAGATCAGACCAGAAATAAATGAAATAGAAACAAACAAACAAACAAACATAGAAAATACCAAGGAAACAAAGAGATAGTTCTTTGAAAAAATAAACAAAATTAATAAACTTTTAGCCAGACTCATCAAGAGAAAAAGAGAGAGGAAACAAAATCAGAAATGAAAGAGGAGAAATAAGAACCAATACCACAGAAATGCAAAGGATTTTAAGAGACTGCTACGAAAAATTATATGCTAACACATCGGACAACCTACAAGAAATGGATAGATTCCTAGAAACATATACAATCTTCCAAAATTGAATTAGGAAGAAATAGAAAGTCCAAACCAATTACTAGTAATGGAATTGAATTGACAATCAAAAAACTCCCAACAACCAAAAGTCCAGGACCAGTTGAATTCACAGGTGAACTCTACCAAACATTTAGAGAAGAGTTAATACCTGTTCTTCTCAAACTATTTCAAAAAATTAGAAGAGGAAGGAAAGCTTCCAGATACATTCTATTAGACCAGCATTACCCTGATACCAAAACAAGACAAAGACTGCAAAAAAAAAAAAAAAGAAAGAAAAAAGAAAAGAAAAGAAAGAGAACTATAGGCCAGTATCCCTGATGAACAAAGATGCAAAAATCCTTAAAAAAATATTAGCAAGCTGAATTCAACAATACATTAAAAAGATCACTCACCACAACGAAGTGGAATTTATTCTAGAAATGCGAGGATGATTCAATATTTGCCAATCAATCAATGTGATACATGACATCAACAGAATGAAAGATAAAAATCAATCTATGAAAATACCAACAACATTTTTCACAGAACTAGAACAAATAATACTAGAATTTATAGGGAACCACAAAGACCCCAAATAGCCAAAGCAATCTTGAGAAAGAACAAAGCTAGAGGCATCATACTCCCAGATTTCAAAATATATTACAAATCTGTAGTAATCAAAACAGTATGGTATTGGCAAAAAAAGAGACAGATCAATGGAACAGAATAAAGAGCCCAGAAATAAACTCACACTTATATGGTCAATTAACTTATGACAAAGGAGGGAAGAATATACAATGAGGAAAAGGTCTCTTCAACAAATGGTGCTGGGAAAACTGGACATGCAAAGGAATGAAACTGTACCACTTTCTTATACTATACACAAAAGTAAACTCAAAATGGATTAAAGACCTAAAGGTGAGACCTGAAAACATAAAATTCCTAGAAGAAAAGACAGGCGGTAACCTCTTTGTCATCAGCCTCAGGAACATTTTTCTGATCTGACTCCTCAGGCGAGGGAAATAAAAGCAAAATAAACTATTAGGACCACACCAAAATAAAAACTATTGCACAGTGAAGGAAAAATATCAACAAAATGAAAAGGCAACCTACTGAATGAGAGAAAATATTCACAGATGATATATATCCAATAAAGGGTAAATATCCAAAATATATAAAGAACTTATACAACTCAACATTTAAAAAATTGGTTGAAAAAGGGTAGAGGATGTGAACATTTTTTCCAATGAAAACATACAGTTGGCCAACAGACACATGAAAAGATGTTCAACATCACTCATCATCAGGGAAATTCAAATCCAAACCACAATGAGATCCCATCTTATACCTGTCAGAATGGCTAGGATCTAAAGGACAAGAAATAAAAAGTGTTGGGGAGGCTGGGGGCGGAGCAAGATGGCGGAGGAGTAGGAGATCTAAATTTTGTCTGGTCCCAGGAATTCAGCTGGATAGGGATCAAACCATTCTGAACACCTACGAACTCAACAGGAGATCGAAGAAAAGAATAGCAGCAACTCTCTGAACAG